TTCACTCCTCCAAATTGAAATAAGAAACAAAAAAGCGGTTATGTCGATACAATTTTGATGAATAATCTTTATCGATGTACTCGATGCAATCGATACAATCGCTTTTTTGTTTTCTTTTTTAGATTTTTGTAGAAACAAGTCCGTTAACATTTTGCTGAGTACTGCGTTCATTTGGGTATTTAATATTAACAAAAATGGTTACTTTGTCATAATTGTGTTTCCTTTTTTTTGTATTTTTAAGTCTAAAATGATGAAATTTAGTTTCTTTCTTTAATTTATTTAATATTTTTTCATCTTCACATTGAATAGAAGCCTGAATGTAAAATTAAATGCCTTCTTAAATGGTTCACTACAATTTAAGATCCAAGACTCAGGCTTTACGTCGGAGATCAGGTGAAACCTTGGACCAGCAACATCACGAGAATCAACAACGCCAACAACAATCATTACCATCAACTTCTCATTCAACTCCATCATCACCATCATCGCCAATATATTCACCAACATCAGCAAAAAAAGCCCGTAGAAGCCTTTGCTCTCCATTGTCTGGTATTTGTAACTCCACAAAAGCTTTATCTTCACCAACAATAGTAACAGCAACAGCAGCTACAGCAGCAGCATCATCAGTATCTAATTCTGGTAAATAAGTGATAAATAAAACATAGCATCATAGCTTAATTATTTTTTGTCCCTACATATACATTTATAAAGAAAGAAATAATTTTCCGCACATTGATATTAATTTTATTTTTTATTTTTTTTTGCTTTATAGGTAATCGATATAGAGATTGTTGTACAGCAATGGAAGAAGATTATGCAAATGAACAGAAAAATGTACAATCTTTACCAGAAACATCATCATCGATTTCAGCTTCATCATCCTCATCAGCTTCATCAAGCTCATCCACTTCATCATCATCATCATCATCCTCATCGTCATCATCCTCACTATCAGGTGAAGGAAATAATGTAACACCTAATATTTGCTCTAATAGCTTATCATCTAAAGGGCGAACCAGTGGTGTTGGTAGTGTTAATACTACAAGTAATAATGGAAATATTATTGATAATATCAGTAACACCAATATCAATATCAATTCCAACACCAATGCCAATGCTAATAATAATAGCAACAACAATAACAACAACAATGGTTCTAGTAACACAAACAATAATTCGAACGATAATATTAATAGTAGTAGTAGCCATAGTGGTGCTGTTGCTGTTAATAATGAAAACAATGGCGTTAGTGGTGTTATTGGAATTAGTAGTGGCAGTGGTGACCGTGGTAGCAGTGGTGGTGGGGGAAGTAGTAGTAGTAGCAGTTTGCCTTTGTCTTCCTTATCTAGCTCTGGTGCTTTGGATAGTGAACCTGATGATAATGAGATGGGTAGATTACAAGCACTTTTGGAAGCAAGAGGTTTACCACCACATTTATTTAGTGCTCTTGGTCCTAGAGTTCATCATCTTCTTCATCGATCTATGGGAAATAAAACGAGTAGTAGAGCTCATCAGTTGATTCAAGGATTACAAGCTCAAGGAGATGAAGGACAACAGTTACAGGCTGTGATGGAAATGTGCCAATTACTTGTAATGGGAAATGAAGATACTTTAGCAGGTTTTCCAGCAAAGCAAGCAGTACCTGCTTTAATAGCATTACTTCAATTAGAACAAAATTTTGATATAATGAATCATTCCTGTAGAGCATTAACATACATGATGGAATCATTACCACGGTCATCAGCTATCGTGGTTGACGCTATTCCAGCGTTTCTTGAGAAACTACAATTTATTCAATGTATGGATGTTGCAGAGCAATCATTAACAGCCTTAGAGATGCTTTCTCGACGACATAGTAAAGCTATTTTACACGCTGGTGGTGTACCTGCTTGTTTATCATATTTAGATTTTTTCACAATTAATGCTCAACGAGCTGCACTTTCAATAACTGCCAATTGTTGTCAAAATTTAACCCGAGAAGAATTTTCTTATGTTAAAGATTCATTGTCTACATTGGGTTCCCATCTGGTTAAATATCAAGATAAAAAATGCCTTGAAAGCTTGTGCTTAGCATTTTCTCGATTAGTGGAAAGTTTTCAACATCATCCAGAAATTTTGCAACAAATTACCGAGAACAATTTATTGTCAAATATTCAACAATTATTATTGGTATCACCACCAATAATCAGTACAGGAACATTTGTAATGGTGATAAGGATGTTGGCTACAATGTGTGCTTCATGTCCTCAATTAGCAGTACAACTTCTTAAATTGAGTGAGTATTGTTTTTTGTTTTTACTTTATGCATATCTATTATATTATAATTTAATGGCTTGGTATTGATCGCAAATTTAGAGAAATTAAATACTTAGATTGTAATCAAACCATTATCTATGCGCTGTGAGTAAAGGCAAAGAGAATAGATAGGAAGACAGTCCAAACTAGATCCATTGGCATTTAGCAAAGATTAGGACAAAGCCATATTATTTCTTAGTTGCTATAGCTAAACAACAAAGGAGGAAAACAACTCAGTTGAATGCGATTTATACTTAAACCTTGTCATCCTTCAAACATGGGTTAACTTTCTTCGCCACCCAACTAGGCCAACATATTTTCATTTTTAATTTTTTTTATTTGATCTGTTCATGATCATTCTTCTCATTCTGAGGTTTACCATTTTTACCACTCAGAGAGATTAACAGACTTTAATTATCTATTAGACTATTATTTTTTGCATATCGTTTTATAGTCATTATTTTTATTAATAACATGTGATTTCTTCATTTGATAAACTCAGGCCTTTGAAAAAGAAGATTACTTATTGCAGATATTTCTAGTTTTCTAATGTTTTTGTTGATACATATTCTCAGTTTATCATTTATTTGTACCATTGTCAATTTATCAGCTTATCTTGAGAATAGAGAAAGTGCCTCAATACATGAAACTGATCCATCCTAGAAGCAATTATTCATTATAGACTTTTCATTGTAAGCAAGCTCCGAGGTCGGTCCAATAATATAGCTGACGAGTTGCTTACAAACACCATTATGAGATTAATTATTTTTGAATTTTGTGAATTCTCTTTATGTCGTCTGATATTTAATATTCCATGCACTATATTATTCTTTTGATTAATTAGCTTTTAGAAAAAGTTTTATAAAGTAAATATTCCTGATTTCCTTAAATCTTTGTTAATTCATTTTTTTTCTTCGATTTAAATATGATCAATATATTAATGTATCATCTCAGACTTTTTTTATGGGTATCTTATGTCAGCCCTCAAAGCAGAGTTTATCCTCATAGAAACAAAGCACATAGAAATAATAAAAATGGAAATGCCTAAAATGGTGAATGGAGCAAATGCAATGAATAATAAAGCACACTAATCATGAATCTTTTTAGGTCAAGTTTATTTTTATATGTTAACAATTAGGCTTATTGTCGATGATATTTTTTCTTTAATTTTTTAAGTCAATTTTTACTGCGATTCAATTTCCTATTTCTATATTTTTTTACTAATTATATTTTTTTCTTTTATTTACACAAAATTTTAGACATAGCCGATACAATTCGTTATTTATTGGTTGGTTCAAGTGCAACGAAAGAATATATTGAATTGACCACAAGAAGCCCACAAGAGCTTTACGAGATAACTTCACTTATCGGAGAATTGATGCCAAAGCTACCAACTGATGGTATATTTAGTGTTGATGGATATTGGTTGAAGCAAACAAATGTGATTCCAAGTGGAGTTACTTGGCAATGGAAAGATGATAGAGGAATGTGGCATAATTATAGTGCTATTGATAGTAAAATGATCGAAGCTGCTCATTTGGCAAGTGAAGATGAAATGAGTTTGACTACAATGGGACGTACATATGTGATAGATTTTAATTCGATGCAACAAATAAATGAAGATACTGGGACTTCACGTTTAATTCAACGTCTAGTCAATAATTCAGATGGAACAACATCAACATCATCATCATCTGGTTTAGGTTTATCTGGAGCTATGATGATGATGATATCAGGTGCAACATCAGCCTCAGCAGCCGCAGCAGCCGCAGCAGCATTAGGAGTACCTACAACACCACCACTATCATCCTCATCATCATCATCATCACCATCATCTCAAGTAACAACAACAACAACAACTAAATCACCAACATCAAACACGAAAAAAACAAAAATTGTTGGAAATGATACAAAGACTCCTTTGAAATCTTGTAATAATTCAATGGATACAACGCCAGGTAAACAAGCTGAAAATGAAGAAATGGGAAAAGATGTAAATCCAAGCAATAATTCAAGTACTCCAAATAATACGCCACCGAATAAGATGCATAATCATAATAATTCGCATTCTTCTATGATGAAAGCAATGATGATGAGCAATGTTAATGAAAATGATGCTCGAATTCAATGTTTAAAAGAAGAACCTGAATTAGCAGAGTCTTTCATAAAAAGTCTTTTTGGTGTTTTGTATGAAGTATATAGTAGCTCTGCTGGTCCATCAGTACGACATAAATGTATTCGAGCATTGCTGAGAATAATTTATTATTCATCTTCTGATCTTTTGCGAATTGTTTTGAAAAATCATGCTGTATCAAGTCACATTGCTGCAATGTTACCATCTTCTGATCTTAGAGTAGTTGCTGGTGCTATTCAAATGGTTTACATATTGATGGAAAAGCTACCTGATATTTTTGCTATTTACTTCCGTCGAGAAGAAGTTAATCTCTAATGATGGAACAATTATTGGAGAAGCAAGCCCAATAAGTGCATATATACCTTCATCATCTCCAAATAAATCATCTCCAAATAAATCAAGTACAAATATAAAAATTGAGTCTCGATTACAATACCAGCTGCAACAACAACAACAACAGCAGCAGCAGCAGCAGAATCAACATCAACATAAACATCAACCGCAACAGCAACAACAAAAGCAACAACAACAAACTGGTCAAAGTACTTCATCGTCTCCGTCATCTTTAATTGGTCAAAGTTATGTGTCATCTTGCTTTCTAGAATCTGGAAGTCCCTTGAGTAATATATCACCATTACAAAGTTTTTCATCCTCATGTGGGATGCCACACGAAGTTTTTACTGCACAAACAAATGATATAAATATGGTTAACAACAACAATATTAATAACAATAATGATAATAACCAAGAAAGTACAAATGCTACTACTAATCCAATTGCCATTACTACTTCAGCAGCGTCCAATGCCACTATTACAGCTACTTCCTCACCATCATCATCGGCATCGCCTCCATCATCATCACCATCGTCTGGTAAGTTACTCATATTTACATTAACACTCATGCTGTATGATACTTATTTAAATACCATTTTATCTCATTATCTTTCTATTTTTCTATTTTTTCTCTTTCAATAGCAACTGGAATAATCACAAGATCAAACAAATCTCCAGTCTCCAAAACAAATGAAAATATTGTGGATTCCCGTTCTTCTCAATTGTGAGTTTGAATTTCAATATGTAATTTTAGCTTCAATGTGCAGAGGTTTTCCAGATAAACTATTTTTAATCGGAAGTGTTCAAATTTGAATTTCACAATTTGATATTATCTGAGTTTACTTCGAAATTACATTATATTCAAAAAATGTCATTAACCTTTGAGTCACTTAACTTTCTCTGCACAAACAAAAATTAGCTAAATCTTTGAAATTCAGAATTTCATTATATTATTATATTTTTATTGTGTATTCTTGTTCAGATTAATTATGATGATAATCTATACGAGCATAAAATAATTTATTGATGAGAATTTTTGCTCTACCGGATTCTGAAATTAAAATCTAATAAGAAAATACATAATAATCAATAGAAAATAATGATAATGTTTACATAAATTTACTTATATTTGCATTTAATTGATTAATTTAATCTAATTTTTTTGTTCATTAGAAGACTTAGTGATGTCCTTAAACGGAAACGTAGTTCAAAGAAAGGATCAACAAGTGGTTCACCACCAGCATCATCCTCTTCAAGTTCGTCATCTTCTCTGAGTAGCAACAGCAACAGTAATAGCTGTAGTAGCAATAGTAACAGTAGCAGCATTGGTGGAGTTGCTGGAAGTATTGGTGGTACAAGCAGTAATAGTAATAATAGCAGTAGTCGAAGTAAAAATCGAGGTGGAATCGACTCTTTGTCTATGCATTTTAACAATTGTATAAATTCGTCATCACCATTGCCATTATCCAACATGCATGGTAATAATCGTGGAGTTAGTGGTGGTGATTATGATCCAATGACAGCAAATTTAAGTTCACACTTTTTTTCGACTCCTTATCTTTCAATGCCATTCTTTCCATACTCTGGAAATAGTGGTACACCTTCATCTGGAAATTCAAGTGCAGCATCGTCAACTCCAGCAACACCAAATACAAATAGCACTGATGCTCAAACAAATTACAATAATAATAACAACAATAATAATGTTTTGACGCCAACATCTTCAAATATAATTGGTCCACAAAGAGGATTACATAATAATTTGGGATTAAATGCTTTTGGTTCTGGTTGTCCATTTGGTGTAACTCCATCTTCTCTTGGATTTGGATCATCAAGTGGATTATCTTTGAATAATAATCCAACTGCTTCAACCTCAACATCTTCATCATCACTCGGTTCAACCTCAACATCTTCATCATCACTCGGAGGAGGCTTACCAGCAGCTCAAGCAGCAGCACAGGCAGCAGCACAAGCAGCGGCTTCCGCAGCAGCAACAGCAACAACAACAAGTCGAGGTAGCAGTCGATCTTCATCTAAATTAAGTTCAGCTGCAGCCAAGACGTCATCATTTTTTGCCAATCTTTATCCAGCTCGATGGCGTCGATGGAATACTGCAGGTCCCAATATAATTGGTTCTAATGCAGGTTCAAATCTAAGTAATCGTAAATCGATGCTGATTTCCCAATCACAAGATCAATTGGGTCATCATCATCATCACCATCATCATTCTCACTCCCATCATCATGGCCATCATAGTCATGGTCATCATAGTCATAGTCACCATCACCACTCTTCTCATTCACCTTCTTCTTCTTCTCATTCTCATCATAACCACTCACACCATTCTCATCATCATCTTGCAGGTTCATCATCTTCGACATCAGGATCACCTCGATCTCCACATTCTTCCCATTCATCTAATGGTAATAAAGAGAAGATACGAAGTTGGATAAGAGAACAAGCAAAGGCATTTGTTGAAAAATATTTCAACAATGAGAATGAAATGAATGAAGCAATGAGCACATTAAATCGTATTAATGGAGCAATAGAAATATTTGAAAACAGCTGTGATTTGGAAGGATTGAAAGAATTTCGAAGTGTACTATTGGATGGAGACATTTCTCCATTTGAATTAATTAATTGTGGAATAATTGGTAAATTAATTACACATTTAACTTTCACCGAGGATGGAGAGGAAGATAGGAATATGAGGATTCGACGTTTTCTTCATGTTTTCCTGGGAACTCCTGTTGATGATAATACTGTGATAAATGATGAAAATGAATTGAACTTGGATACTCGGCCAATGTCAAGTCTTGTCTCAAAATTAAATGCTTGTATCTCACAATTGGAGCAATTCCCTGTTAGAGTACACGATGTGATTGGAACTGGAACAGGTAACATAAGGGGGACAAGTGCATTGAAATTTTTCAATACCCATCAATTGAAATGTAATTTAGTTAGACATCGAGATTGTACTACTTTGAAACAATGGAGAGGTGGACCTGTTAAAATTGATCCATTGGCTTTGGTGCAAGCAATTGAAAGATATTTGCTATTACGAGGTTATGGTCGTGTTAAAGAAGATGATGATGATGGTAATAGTGATGATGATAATTCAGATGACGATTTTGAGGATAATATGGCATCAGTTGTGATGAATCAGGGCCAAGGTCGTCATAAGATACAATTTTTAATTGATGATCGTATTCTTCCATATAATATGACAGTTTATCAAGCTATAAGACAATTTAGTGGAGGATCAGGTAATTCTCAATCAATTGATGGTCATGAAACTGATACTGATTTTGATGGACCAATGGGTAATTCAAATATGTGGGTAACAACTCATACAATATATTACCGTTCATTGAATGATAGATTACCAAGTGTATCTTATCCATCAGCTTCGACATCTTCAACAAACTCAACTCCAACTTCAACTGCTGGAATTATTGGTACTAATACTAATACTAATAACAATAACAACAACAATAATAATAATAGTCGAAGTAGTCGATCTGGACGAGGAACAATATCAGCAGCAGCATTGTTGTCAGATATAACGCCAATATCAAATATGACAAATACAGTAGGATCAGGATCGTCATCATCATCATCAACACCATCCTCTTCTGTTTTGAATCATCATTTAACTTGCTCAGGAAATTGTGCTTCAAACAATGGTCATTCCTATTCTTATCCTTCCACATCAACATCTTCAATGACACCTTCATCATCAACAGCAATTTCTGCATCTTCTGGTATTGGTAGTAGTGGTATTAATACTAGTAATACTACTACCTATGGACGTCGTGCAGCATCAAAATCAGCAAATAAAAACTCAACATCAAACTCTCCATTATCTTTTCCGTCATCAATATCATTATCATCATCATCATCATCTGGATCAAAGAAGAAAGATGAATTATGGCTTGAAGGGAAAACACCAACGATCTCATCAATAGTATACAATTATTTGATTCCTTCATTGCCAAATTGTGTTAATATTGAAGATTCTTCTTTGGAAGTAATGAGTCTATTGAGAATTTTAAATGCATTAAATCGATGTTGGAGTTGGTTCTACAATTTAACAATCAGTTCAAATCCTGCCATACCGCAAAGTGAATTTGTAAATAGTAAACTAACAGCCAAAGCTAATCGTCAACTTCAAGATCCACTTGTGATAATGACTGGTAATTTGCCCCAATGGTTATCTCAAATAGCTTATGTATGCCCATTCCTGTTTCCATTTGAGACTCGTCATTTATTATTTTATATAACATCATTTGATCGAGATCGAGCTTTACAACGTCTTTTAGATACAACACCAGGATTGAATAGTAGTGATACTAGTGAACGAGTAACACCGAGATTGGATAAAAGAAAGAAAACTGTAACTCGTGAAGATATTTTACGACAAGCTGAATCAGTATTTCATGATATTGGTAATTCAAAGGCATTGTTGGAAATTCAATATGAGAATGAAGTTGGAACTGGATTAGGTCCAACATTGGAATTTTATGCTTTAGTTTCAAAAGAATTACAACGAGCTGATTTAGATATGTGGAGAGGTGAAGCAATTACTTCGTCAAGTGTGATTATGCCTCTTTCATATTCAAATGATAAATTAGCAACAACAGGATCACCACATTATGGATCTAATGAGATGATGATTGATATAAATCAATTGCTCAAGAATGATGTTACCAAAACAAATCGTAAACATTGTAATACTAATCTTATTCAACAAAACCAACAAAATCAGAATCAGAATCAGAACAAGAATCAGAACCAAAATCATCAATCACACCGTCATCACCAAAATCAACAACACCAGCAGCAACAGCAACAACAACAACAACAACAATTATTGTTACAACAACAAGCACAACAAGCCATTCAATATATTTACTCTTCTGAAGGTTTATTTCCATCTCCAGTTGGTAAATCAACAAAAACTACCTCTTTGTCCAAATTAAAAAGTAGATACAGACTACTTGGAAAGTTTATGGCCAAAGCATTATCTGACTCTAGAATGGTAAGAATCTCTTTTGATCATAATATTGTTAATATTATATTCTTATTAATATTCATTTAATTTAACATTGGCGTTTTTATTTTCTTTTTTAGGTTGATATACCTTTAAGTATACCATTTTACAAATGGCTTTTGGGTCAAGAATCCACTCTAAATGTGTCAGATATGCATTTTATTGATTCAACTTTAGCAAAATCTGTAACAAATATGTATTTAATTGCACAAAAGAAAAATCTCATGGTTAGTATTTATTTTGATAATAATTTTCAAAATTTTCAATACAATCAATTATTATTTAGACAATATATTAACACTAATTTTTGTTGATTAAAATTTCCAGGAAAGAGGAGTTTCTGGACTTAACCGAGAATCCTTAACTTTAAGTGGAGTTGAAATTGAAGATCTTCATCTTGATTTTACTTTGCCTGGTTTCCCACAAATTGAACTACGTAAAGGAGGTAAAGACATGTCTGTTACATTGGAAAATATAGACCAATATTTACGATTAATGGTACATTGGACAATGGTTGAAGGAGTATCTCGACAAATGGAAGCTTTCAGAGAAGGATTTGAATCTGTTTTATCATTAGCACAACTACAAATATTTTATCCAGAAGAATTGGAACAACTTTTCTGTGGTTGTAGTCACCAATCATGGGATTTAAAAACACTGATTGATTGTTGCCATCCAGATCATGGTTATACCTATGACAGTCGAGCAATTAAATATTTATTTGAAGTACTATCGTCATTTAATGGTGATGAACAACGTAAATTCCTACAATTTGTGACTGGTTCTCCTCGTCTTCCTGTTGGAGGATTGAAAAGCCTAACACCCCCGTTAACTGTTGTACGGAAAACTTTTGAACCTGGTGAAAATCCTGATAATTATCTTCCTAGTGTAATGACTTGTGTAAATTACTTGAAACTACCAGATTACTCTAGCATTGAAATAATGCGAGAAAAACTATTGTTTGCTGCAAACGAAGGACAACATTCTTTCCACCTCTCCTAAAACTGATGTACTCCAACCTGAGTAAACGCAACTTCAATGACTACTTGTAAATTTCAAACAGTGTAACTAAATCAACCCAAGATACATTTTATTTCTTTGATATTCTTTTGCTTTTCCATCCAGTTGATTTAATCACAATCAAAGATGAGGAAATTACCTTCATTTATTTTGTTTTCACTAATTTTCAACTAACTTACTTTATTTTCCTCTGTATTGGTGCTGATTAACATGTTGGAAACATGTTTATAATGTAACAAATTAATATGTTTTCCGTTCAAATATAAACAATCAACAAGATTGCAAACTCTGTTTAAATACTATCACAATTATCATATTTACTCGATTCTTAAAAATAAAAAACTTTCAGATGCAATTGAATGATGTTGTTTTGTCAGAAATAGATATTTTAATGCAAAAAAATCTTTATTACCATCGTATTTACATTCGAAGAAACATTTCCCTCATCAGATGACTAGAAGAGATTCAACATAGATGACATTTTATCAAATACAGTTTCTCTAGTTTCCAAGAATTAATTATTTTGGCAATTTCAATATCAAACTTTGAAATTATTAGTTAGTTGAGTTGAAGAAAAAACAAGATTTACATGTTTGTTGAACAAATGGATAAGCAAATGAAACTATAAAAAATAAACTAATCATCTAATATTTTAGATACATCGTGATATTTGGAGGAATGTATTACGCTCGAAGATTATTACCCTTTTAGATTTCAATTATTGATTGGAATGGTAATGACAGATAATTAAATCAAGTTTGATTTGTGAATAACAAATTTTACAAAATTAATCTAACTCAAAGAGTTTAAATACTATTTTCAATCATGTATAAAGCATAAGTCAGATCTGTTGTAATTGCTACATTGCTTCAACATGATTTAGATTATCTTTGATAAATTATGTCCTGTTTTTGATGGAAATAGTAACTTGAAAAATGCTGAAAAATGTCATGAAGAGCTGCAAATAGATGAAGTTAGAGTTGCTATGGCATAATTTAAAAGGCTAATTATTGTGGCCTTTGTTGATTGTTATCCATCATTCACGCTGAGCACCATTTATAATAGATTGTTGGATTCCTCAACTAATATTTTGTCTCCACTAAAACTCCCATATGAAACCAAATGTATCCAATTTTGAGACCTTTTTATAACGAATGTTTACAATGCCAGCACGATGTACGAGAACACCAATTTTAATAATTCATTTGATTTTCAAAATTGGAATTCTTTTCTTTATTCATCCTAATATTTAATTTGAAATTGCTTGACTGGTATTAACAGCTTGCGGTTTATTATTTGGTATTCGTGATGATGATACGGCAAATGGCAATGATATTGGACTAGACAAATCAGCTGCTTTATAAATGGTTGAATCTTGGATCGTTTTTTGTTTAGCTTTCTCGTATAATCCATAAGGTCGAAGATGATATAACAGGTATTCAATGACATACATGGTGTCAGAGCTGATATAATGAAAAGAAATAGCAGTATCTGAACAGCAATTCATTCCCTGTAGAAAAAAAGAAACAAAAAATGAGTAAAAAATTTATAAAATTAGGTTTAACATGAAACAAAAAGTAGACTTAGGTCAGAATGGCTTTCAATAAATGAACAATAACTCAGATCAGATGGATTTAACAAGATATGATTACAATTAGAGGAAGGAAGGAAGAAAGGTCCATATAAATACATATCATAAATACTTGTTTGATCATTGTTATTGACAGTTAAATCAGTCATTCAAAAAAGAGGTTCAATTGGATATCCAAGGATTCACTTTTTTTTGTTTCAACATTGGACTGTCAACAATAAACGTTTTTCATATTTCAATTTCAACTGTTATTTGAAAACTGTTACTGTATTAACATGAATAACTATAGAAACAAATTATTGCTGGTTAAGGTCTACAATTAAGTTGTAATTCAAATTGCTTTGTGTATAAAAGACAAAAAACTATCAATTATTAAAAATGGTTATGACGGTATACAGATAAGATGAAGTCAACAATAAAAAACCTGACATTGTGTCAAATTGTTATTGACAGAACAAAATCTCAATAACAAAATATTATCATCAGAAATGGCATAATTAAGGGTATGATAGAATCATCATGTAAGATCTGAAAAGGATTATTAATAATTCAAGAATTACAGCTAAAAATACGATTCGAATAAAAATTCAACTCTAAAATGAATCAAAACCCAAGGAAAATTGACATTCAATTGTTGCTGATGAACATTGATTACGTTTGAATCTGATTGATTGTTTTTTGCCCAATGACAAAATATTTAAATGGCCTTAAAATGTAAATTGTAGATTCATAGTTTGATGTTGATGATTCAACTCTCATTAATGATAGCGAAAGTAAAATTGAAAATGAAGAAAAGGTAACAATTTTGAGTCACCAATTAAATGAAAACAAAATGTAGTAAAAATTGAAGCTCAATTAGCAACCTTCTAAACAATCAACTGATATTACTTGAGAAGAATCAATTTGTCATTAACTTTTCCCACTCGTAAACCTCTTTCTTTCACCCAACAGATTTAAAATTTAATTTAAGGAGATTCAGGATGAGCTTGGTTAGTTATGAAACTGATTAAGTGTTAAGCCAGTGTAGGTGATAAAAAGTATTGACGGATTTTGGATGTAACAAAAAAAATACACTTTTATGTGTTGAGATGATGCATGATAAAAGTGATTGAGGCAAACGCTGACAGTCAATTAACAGTAGATAAAATAATTTGCGAAAAGCCGTGAACTAAATGCCATCAACAAGTGAAAACATGATGACTGAACCCGATTAGATGAAGATATTACTAAACAGATTTAATGGAAAGTAAAAAATTGATGAGTCTTTGAAATACCTCTTCAGATTCATAGTAAATGTATTTCCAGTACCAAAAATTTTTGTCAACATGACCAGGAATGAGATGGTGTGAAGGTACAAATGGAAAGAATCGCCCTCGACCCAGTTTATCACGAGAATCACCGGCAGTGACATTGAGAGCTTCAAGGCATTTACCCATTTCAACATCTTCAGCACCATCATCTGAAAGTTTACATTGTTTAGGATGAACAGCTGGATCTATGCCTTTATCAATGAAACGTTCAAGAGCCACTTTACTCAAAACATAACCAGCACCTAAAACAAAAAGAGATTTTAATTATTTGTCTTTATTTTTCACGTTAATTCAATGATAATTGTTCAGTAAACTTACCACCAGACATGTAACCCTGATTGACGTAAGGTTTAAATTTACAGCCAAAGTAAATTGGATCCGATGAATTTTGAGTCGATAAAAAGTATCGTAGGTTTTCAACAACAACATAAGTATCATCGTCTGCTTTCATGAACCAATCTGCTTCATCAAAGTGATTCTTGTAAACATATTGAAAAGCTGATCTCGTTTTGGCCCAAAGGTGATCTCGACCTTCTTCAACGTCCAACTTCACAGTTGGCAATCTGGGATCATTAGTTGAACTCATGAAAAGCAGCTTATTACACCTTTTACCCCAAGTAGCTTTAATATGGCGAGCTTTGGATTCATGATTTTTAGGATTGGTCATAACCCAGCATAATACTCGGACAGATTTATACAGTTCATCAGCAACGGTGAAATCTCCTGAAATGGTGAAAGCGACAAAAAAGTGATTAGTAAAACGAATCATCTTAAAATGAAATTAACAAGATTAAATTAAACAAACCAACCACCATGAGCAAACTTGCAAGAAACCTGAACAATCAAAATTTACGGAAGTCAACCGTATAATAAACAGCAATAAACACCCAAAATTCAACTCTAATCTTTAATATTTAATCAGCATTAAAAGTTAATCTCTAACAATCAACTAATCAAGATTGAATGACATTGAGCCATTAGATATTGAACAAAATGGTCAACAATTACAAATATAATTGCAAGTATCAACACAACACTCAATACCATAATTGATTAATCTGTGAAACAAGTTGAATAACAGTAACCCAATAATGGATTGAATCAAAAAGAGGTTATAAGGTAACAATTTAATGTTTAACTGAATGACAAAAAAACAATTGAAGGTCTGTTCAAGTATACAACATGGTTAACTATTAATAAATTTATCATTAGTTAACTGAAGTACAATTATTGGATTTAAAATAATGATAAAAATTACCCAATAAATCATGGTGCATGAATGGATGAAATGTATCTGTAATCAGTATCAACCGTTATAACAGTTTGGTTAATAACTTGGATGTGCGGCTAATTGAGTATCATACTTTGTTAACCATCACTTTGTTTCACCAAGCTAGTTAGTTAATGGTAACATTGCTTTTTACCTCTTCAATTGACGATATCAAAAGAGTACCAAAAAAATAGTCAACTAAATTCATAACAATAATAATAAAAATTGTTGTTGATATTGCAAGTGAAACGCAAAGGATTCACGGTTAAATTGACTTTCGTTAACATCTCTTTCTCATCACCATTATCACCATCAACAACAATCAGTTGATAATTATGATCAGTTTGTGTACTGTTACAAATCTGTTTATCCATTCAACACTCTTTTATTAAATCAAAAACTCGCACAATTAATGCCATTAATAAAACAACCCAAGCGTTTTAGCACTGAGCGAATCAAAATGTAAACATTGAATACAATGATTGGGATTTACAGTGAAAAATTTAATTGTTGGGGAAAAGTCAAATGGATTTAACTGCTAGACGCTTTGATTCAAAGTAAATAATGAAATGTTTGAAACTGAATTTTTGCTATAAAATGACAATTTCCATCAGGAATCTTGAGGGTGAGAGAAATGAATTATTAGATGAAAATGTTTGATGTTTGGATGTGATTAATTCAACTTTGATGACCAGGAGAGCAGGTTAATTGATTAACATTGAATACAAACTAACTCACGTTTAATTTTCATAGTGGTTGGATTGTTGAGTCAATTATTTATGTTGCCAGCAGTTTTAAAATTTGTTAGGAAGCCTCAAAATGTAAATCAAGAGTTGTCTTTTGTCCAACTTAATTTTGTAATTTTTGTAATTATTGAATAACTCAGGGAAAGGTTAATAGATTATCGTGATTAATTTGAATGATTTATGCGTAAATTTTAATCACTTGGCCTATTAGAATGTAATGAAATTAAGACTTGCGGCTTTAACTGAATTAATTGAATGGTTAATGTTTCAATTTTCATTAACCCTGAGTGATTGGTTAAATGGCTTAAAATTGTATTATTTGGATCAAAACGAATCAACAGTGAAATTGTTAATTTTAACTAACTATTGATAGATTGAATAGGATTTGATGGTCAAATGAATTGTTAAAAAAGACGATCTGTGAAACAATAATTGTATGTTAACCAGAAGCATTAATCAGTGAGGATTAAGCTTCACGTTTCAATGTTTAACTCGTGTATTTAACTTATTTCATGATGAATAGATTTAACAATTGACTTTTAGCTTGACCAGAAAGTGATATTTAAGAGCTGAACTTTTAAATAGTGAGATGATGATGACCAGGATCAAGATGACCAGGAAGAAATGAAAAGATGGAGGAGTTTATTATAATCACATCTTGTGAACATGTTAATATTTTAAGGAATCAAGATGAAACTGGATATGTATTAACATGAAACGATCGTGATTCCATATGGCCTAAAAAGATGGCATTTCAATGAAAGATTAATTGACATTAAAAGACCCTTAAAAGATGAAATATTCATTCATTTTATATTGTTATCATCACTGTCATTACATCATCTCGAGGGTAAACTTAAAAAGTATGGAAATCCAAAAGGAGAATGCCAAAAAGAATAGGCAAAAATGGTCTAATCTCAGAATTTTTTTCAACCGGATTTCTATGTTGTTCAATGATTACTCACTTTTATGATCATCTTCCTCGGTAATATGGCCAGGCACTGGGAAACGAGGGGCTATTAAATTTTCTGCTTCTTGGTAACTGTGAGGATCATCGTGCATGAAATATGATGGTGATGATGATGATGATTGAGAGGAAATAAGGTATGATGTACCACCAAGAAGATCAACCTTTTCCCAGGTAACAACGCTTAACAAGAGATATGCAAAACTGAAACCAAAAGTCATGCCAACAGCTAAGGTTAGGATGAAACTTCTTGAAAATCGCGAAGAATGAGCATTTGAGATTCCTTTGGTACTTATTGGTAACATTTTAACATCCACATTTTATAATACAATTACTTATCAATAGTTGACAGTATCATTGGTTCCGTTGAAATGAGATTCAAAATTAATGTTGAGCATGGAGACGAACTTAGTTGATGAACAGATGAACAAAGAATGAGAAATAAATATCAAATTAAATATAACTCCTTTCAATTTATGATCCGCCTCAACTATAGCTCTCGTGTTATTACTCTTCACTTCATCAAGTGTTCAAGCTTCTTGTTTTGTTTACAAACTACATTTGAAAGCTGAATTGACTCAGCTTGCAACATAATGTTGTTTATGAACGGTCCCGGAACATATAAACATATGTGACATATAGTGTAACCAGTTTTATTTTTATTTAAAGTGAAACGCTTCTCTTGTTTAACATACGTCTAGTTTAACAGATTTTATTTGTTAAAATTTGAATTGAATATGCATGAATATTGAGTTCAGTCACCAGATCTACATTTCTTATTTATCTTTTTCAGCGTGGCGCGTGATTATGTGAGGCTTCTCAAATATGGAGACTCTTTTTATCGGTGCAAGCAGCTGAAAAGAGCTGCACTGAGACGGATAGCAAATATTATGAAAAGGCTAACATATACTATCAGTCTGATAGTTCAGTTTACCTAGAAAGAGTTCACATCTCTCGTTTTGGAGAAAATAAAGAGAGTAGACAATGTAAATATTTAGGAGATGAGTACTGTTACTTAACAAGGAGTCATAGAAGTCATAGGCTAACAGACTCCACGTAGCTTTGCCTCTTCCTAGAGACTCATAGGTAAGAATAAATTTAACAATAAATGATATTAGATTCACAATAAACTCAACTACATGTAATCCGAAACATTTTTATTTATAAAAGGAACGAACTCCTTGCATTACTGAAGCTGCTCTCAAAAACAAATCTGAAATGACAACTGAAAATGGCTCTGATGAAGACCTGGACGATGAAATGGCTAAACTTAAAAAGAAGACTGAACGTGATATCGAATTGGAAATGGGAGACGATTATATTCTAGATCTAAAGAAGCGTTACGATATCGAAGGAGATCGAAGGTTCGATATCATTCCAGAAATATGAGAAGTTTTTGCAATTGCAGATTTTGATTTGCTGATCTGGGAAAAAATTGGCTGAATTAGAAGCACAAGAAAGACAATTGATTGAAAATGGATATTATGACCCTAATCTTGAAGAAGAAAATTTTCATAATAAGGGCAATACATGATCTAGATAATGAATAATCTAAGATACATAATGCTCAGCATTGAATCATCATGATTAGATTATTAGAAGGAATGCAATTTTTAATTGAAAAATACGATTACAGTTTTGATCATTCAAAGACTCATTTGGACTTAAACTTTCGTTGAAGATAATCAAATACTTGTTCTCTATTTTGTCTTGAAACAAGCGTTGAAACATAATTGCCATACTCGATAAGGTCATTATACAGTTGACCAGAAGTGATCTTTTCGGATTCCAAACCAGCGATGAAACTCTCAAAATTGGATAATCGTTTATCTTTGAAAGTAAAATAAACTAAATCTCTATGACACATGGATGCAGCAATCAATTGTATTAGTGATTTAAACTGAGGATCACCTCGATAAACTCCACACCCCCAATTACCAGTGGCTATGGCACTCCTGTGTTTCTCATCAATCTCATCGTTCTCCATGAAAGCTACATAAGCCTTGGTCAATTCTCTGTCTAGATATTTTTTACTGTATTGCGTTATTACTCTGTCGACAGCAAAATAAACAGCATCCATTGCAACCACCTTAGTGAAACGACGACCCCATTCGTCTAGTGGTCTTGAATCAAAATGATCACCTGCCATAGAAAAAGTATCAGAATATCCTGCATAATCGTTGAACTGTTCAGTTCCAATTATATGTATCGCTTCATTTTCAAGCATTGTTTCAGTGAATAGCATTGAGACGATCAACTCTGGACTAACCACAAAACGTATTTCCTCTTGAACCATCCCATAGGTTAAAACCTTTCCACCAATCAATTTATGGGCAAAATCAACTTGAAGCATTCCGATTCCATCTTTCTCGATCGAGCCATTGTTATTAACAATTAACCTTTTCAAGCTGCTCTCGGATGATGACCAGTCGGGTGTTTTCTTTGCCTCCAAATAACGCCTTTCAAAGGTAACTGTACCTTTTGGTGTGTTTCTAGATAGGCGTCTAAAATAATTTATAATACATTTTAGCTTTTCCAACTTACGTTTCGTAGCTCCGGGTCTCATCACTGTAAATAACCTGATTTTAAAAGTAAAAATGAGTGAGTTATTCTGGTGTAAACAAGTACTAATTATTAAAGGTACTTACTCAGTAAATGTAAAATGGTTCAATTTGGATTTAGTTGGTTTATCGAATGTACACAAAAATGCATTTGCAAGTAATGATGCACATTGCTGTTGACTAAAAAACAATGAATGGTTCATCTTTTGTTTTAAAATTGGAATAGGTTGAATAATTAAATCTGGTAATGCCAAAGCAGATGATATAATAAAAGGAAAAGTTTCATCATAAAATATTTTCTGTTCACTTTCATTCATCTCATCAACAACTTGTTTTAAAATATTGAAAGAAAACCTTTTCAATGATGGATTTGTAGACTTAATTGAATCAATCAACTGTTGAGATGTCCTGATCTGTTTAGAGGCCAAATTTTTAACTTCTGCCCAAACCTTTCCATTAAAAGGCATTGAAATGTATTCCATTTGCATTGGTGTTGAAGATTGAGATGAGCTAGGTTTCGGTATCACATCTTCTGTCCATGGTAACTGGTAAAAGATTGTCCTCTCAGGTCCTGGTTTTAATTCACCTAATGGCTTTGAGCACTCAGGTTCTCTATTAACAATGTCCATTTCCACAGTTAAATAAAGTCTAAACCAGTTAAAAAGAAAAAAACAGATTATAATAGACGATTGACGATCAAAATGGATATTAAGAGTCATTTTCATTCACCTCTTTCAATTTTAGGGAGAAACGTTAGTAAACATGTGATTAATTTAAGGATTGATGCAAAAATCAAGTTGTTACTTCTGAGTGCAAAAGATTTTATCTACAAAAATCAAAGTGATTTGCATTTAATGGGAAGAAACTTTCTGACGTTTGTTGTGAGAATAATTTTATAGCAATTCTGGGTATCTAGCAATCAACGACCAAAAGAGATGATAAAGATATTCACGAGAAACAGCAAACGTTTTGCAATGAGTACTTATAAATTTACACTTATTTTGACTATGTATGATATATTTCACAATTTAGGATAAAATTATTCAACATTCAGCTGAAGTTATTAAAACAATGTCTAAACAATAGTAATATTATATTTATAGAATATGTCAAGTGGAAGAACAGGCTTAGATCGTAATTGTCCATCAGTAAACACGGAATATTATGTCAAATTTGTAAAAAGAAAATTTTAATCAGATTCAAACTACCCAATCGAAAAACCACCTAAAACAGATGTAATTGTAAATTTCTAGTAAAGATGAAACACCACAGGAGCGATTTTCGCTCCAATGATAAGATGAAGACCAGAAAATTCACGAAATAAACACAATTTATTTTTTTAATTTTCACTGAAATACAATCATTGAATTACAATTTCATTGCGTAAACTATTGAATCTGATGATTTTTGAGTTCAATAATGAGTCATTGATTTTGTGTTAAAATTTTAATTTAAATTATTCAATACAATAATCGAAATAAAATTATTTTTAATAACAATTGTGAAAAATATAAAGTCTTTAAGCAACAAATAAAACCAGCTCGCAACAGAGTGTTATTTATAGACGGTCCCCGGAAACATTGAAAGCTCTTTGCAAACCACGTTTTATTTTTATTTAAAGTGAACTCTTCTCTCGTTTAAGGGTTGTTGAGTTTGGCAATTTTATTAATTTTGTTAATTGTGCTAATTCAAAATGTCTCATTACAGTTTTAAAAAGATTCAAACTGTGCCCTCTACGAAGGACTTTGTTGATATTATTTTATCAAAAACACAAAGGAAAACTCCTACGGTTGTCCATAAACATTATGCCATCCCTCGGATCAGGCAGTTTTATATGAGAAAAGTTAAATTTACTCAACAAAATTTCCATGATAGATTAACCCAAATTTTAACTGATTTTCCTAAAATTGAGGTAGGTTTTACCAACTTTTCATTCTACACTATTGCTGTGATTTACTATATGTCCACCTTACTAATATTTTCTTATTTTCTCACCGTCTTGCAATCTCAGGAAATTCATCCATTTTTTGCTGATCTACTCAATGTCCTTTATGATAAAGATCATTACAAATTGGCCCTTGGTCAAATCAACACAGCACGTAATCTTATTGACAAGTAAGTAGCCCCACGTGTTTTACTTGTTGCTTTCAGTATTCAGCACGTATTAAGTGTTCATCAACTTCAATGAATCTTGGTTTTTGAATCCCGTTAGCGTGCAAAATCAAATCGCTTTGTTTATTAGCCCTTTGTTCATTTCCATGAACATTGAGTTCAGTCACCAGGTCTACATTTCTTATTTATCTTTTTCAGCGTGGCGCGTGATTATGTGAGGCTTCTCAAATATGGAGACTCCTTGTATCGGTGCAAGCAGCTCAAAAGAGCTGCACTGGGACGAATGGCAAATATTATGAAAAGGCAAAATGATAGTTTAATTTACCTAGAGCAAGTTCGGCAACACATCTCTCGTTTGCCATCAATCGATCCTAATACACGGACATTATTGATTTGTGGTTTTCCTAATGTGGGTAAATCCAGTCTTATCAATAAAATCACCAGAGCCGATGTTGAAGTTCAGCCTTATTCATTCACTACTAAATCTCTTTATGTTGGACATACTGACTACAAGTATCTTAGATGGCAAGTAATTGATACTCCTGGTATTCTAGATCATCCTCTTGAGGAACGTAATACAATTGAAATGCAAGCTATCACAGCTTTAGCTCACATTAGAGCTTGTATTATTTATGTAATTGATGCATCTGAATCATGTGGTGTTGGCTTGGAAGATCAAATCAGTCTTTTCAAAAGTCTTCAACCTCTCTTTGTTAACAAACCCATTCTTATTGTTAATAACAAAAGTGATGTTGTAAAATTAGAGGATCTTCCAGAGGAAAAGAAAGCCATTTTGGAAAAGATAAAGACAGAAGACAATGTAAATATTTTAGAGATGAGTACTGTCAATGAACAAGGAGTTATAGAAGTACGAAACGAAGCTTGTGATTTATTACTTGCTCATCGAGTTGAAATGAAGATGAAGAGCAAGAGCATGCAAAGTGTTGCTAACAGACTCCATGTAGCTATGCCTCTTCCTAGAGACTCACAGGTAAGAATCAATTTTACAATGAATGTTATTAGCTTCACAAAAGACTCAACTAATCCGAAACATTTTATTTATTGAAGGAACGACCTCCTTGCATTCCTGAAGCTGCTCTCAAAAAGAAATCTGAAATGACAACTGAAAATGACTCTGATGAAGACCTTGACGATGAAATGGCTAAACCTAAAAAGAAGACTGAACGTGATATCGAATTGGAAATGGGAGACGATTATATTCTAGATCTAAAGAAGCGATACGATATCGAAGGAGATCAAAAGTTCGATATCATTCCAGAAATCTGGGAAGGACATAATATTGCTGATTTTGTTTTTGCTGATCTGGAGAAAAAATTAGCTGAATTAGAAGAACAAGAACGACAATTGATTGAAAATGGATATTACGATCCTAATCTTGAGGAAGAAAATGAACAAATTAAAGAGATTCGAGCTTTGGCTCGTCAAATTCAGCACAAGAAGGCCTTGTTGAAGAACGAATATTGGCTTAAGAAGGGAATAACCAGACCAAAACTACCAAGAACAGGACGTAAACGTGAACGAAGTGTTTCTAGATTGAAGCATGAATTTGAAGAACTTGGAATTGAATTTTCAGATGATGATGGAACTCACTATGCTGAAGCTGCTGAGCCAAGGACTCGTGGTCCACCTTTGAAGAAGGTTCGAACAGACAGCGAAGGTAGAGTGAGAAGTAGCTCTACTAAACCAAGAGATCAATCTGGTATTCGGGATGAGATTGAAAAGGTTAAGGTTAAGGCGATCGCTAAGAAAGCTCAAACCAAGAGGAATCGGCAAGCCAGAAAGGGTGAAGGTGATCGTAAGATTGTAAGCTTGAAACCCAAACACTTGTTAAGTGGTAAAAGAGGACTCGGAAAAACACAAAGAAGATAATTGTTATATCTTTGTAAATGATTCTGCTAAATTAAAGTTTTGTTATAACACAAAATTTGTTTCATTCAATTCATTATGCTCTTATATCAAACTCGGATTTAAAAAGATAAATTTTGAGAAAATAACAGCTTTAAAATCATGGATTAAACTTTATTTGAATTTCAACATTCAATAATTAATAAGACAACAAAATGACTCAAGATTTGTTCATTTTTATGATTTTTCTACTGCTATAAATAAAAGACTTAACAAGACCGGCTGTAAAAACTCCTTTAGCACTTTGAGTCCAGCTTGACCTCCAAACAATTTGACTAATTGCATTTTTCACATAATCAGAATAATTGTAACTTTGAGCTACTGCCATTAGAACATCATCCAAATCTCGAAGTTTTCCTCTGGTTTCATAGTTGAAATATAAATTTTGCTGAACTTTTTTAGGCAACAGACTGAGATTATGAAAAAGCACACGCGGTGAAAGATCTTGGAAATAAGTTCGTTGATTACTATTAAATGTTAATAAACCTTTTTCGATGGACGATCCAATGTAAGGTTGATAAATAGAGCGAAACTTTTCAATGTTTGGCTTAACGATCTTTGAAACTTTGTTCTTATCCTCGCCGAATGTCATGCGAAAGTCTCCATTATAACTTAAATTAGCTATTGTTGTGAACAATTGTTCTTCTGTGAAAGTTTCACTCAATAACAATAAGGCCGAATACAGAGCATTTTGGTGATTAATTGACAATGCTTTGGCAATGCTTCCATCATCACTTGGAGAGTGAATTATTTTCACAGGTTTATGCAGTCTTCCACTAATATACAAGAAGTCCCAATCAAATAGATCATTAATTAAATTTTTCCTACTAATAACACCATATTTAATCAATCGATCTACACCATTGTCATCTTTGATTGTCACTAAACTATTGTAATAAACACGAGCTCCAAAATTGTCTTGAATATGAGCAACTCCCTTAGGTCCAAGGTGTCGTAACAATGAGTAATGTTGAGCATTGTTTCTTAGATTATTCCTATGGAATTCCAGGCTATCATCAACAACAACAACCAAATCAACCATGTTAGCGTCTTTCTTAGCTGAGCCATTCGATAACACTGAGGCGGCAAAAGATTTAGATTTAGATGTGGAAGATGATGATCGGTCAAATGCTGAAATTGACTGCTTGAACACGGCTGATCCATAAGCGAAAGCAAAACAATAACTACTCGGTAAAAAGCTTATCAAGTTCTTCAAATAACTACTAGTAATTAACGACATTTTGAAAAAAAAAATTCAACATAGAAATATTTACAACTAGCATCGATATCAAAACAATTTCAATAAAAATCATGTGGTAATAATCTACCATCTACTAGATGACGCCACTTGGAAGGGCAAATAACTCATTTTGTCGTCTTTGATTAATTGAGCAAATTTTTTTAATTTGTGTTTTAAGTGACAGATGAACGCTCAGTGCACAGCAATTACTTGACGTAAACAGCAGATTTATAATCAAGATTTCATTTACAGTGTTTATTTAATTGGTTTTTGATACTAAATGGGATGAATATTTGGTTTATTATCGCTGATCAGTAATTACACAAAATAAAGAGAAACGATTGATTATGCAAACAATATGAAAATACTTTTGAGAAATATTTGTGTTTCGTCAACTCGAGAAAGGTTCATGACTTAGAAGAGCACGTAGCCATACTTTTTGAATAATGTACTTGAAAACACGAGATGAAGTGAACATGGCAGTTTCTTGGTTGTGAAACTTTGTACAGTCTCGTAAAACAAAAAACAAAGACGAAATAGTTAAACAATAAATGCACTCTAGGACAATCTAATTTACACGTTAGATTATTGGTATGCATCAAAGAGGAGCTATGCATTTGGTATGCATTTAATAGAACATAGAAAAATATCTTATAACATATCTTGCCTGATCTTAGCGACGTCGTCAAAATAGAGAATGCAAGCTTCTAATGAGTTTTTTGTATCATTGAGTATCTTCATCATATAAATTGGGTTCTTGTTTGATTTTTAAGCCCTCTTCAATAATATCCACTATTTCTTCTTTTACATTGGTTAGGAAAATACTAGAAACATCAGGTTTAATGTCGATTTCGTCCGAGTCAGATCTTGCAATAGCAGTTGATAAACAATTATTATCGCCATTTTGGATTCCATTCTGTGTATCACTTGGTTGGCAGCTCGAGCTAGTTCCTTCTCCTAAATCATCACATCGTTGTTTTTTAACTTTAACTTTCAACAATTTCTGGGAGACACCAGCAACACCTTTGATTTCATTTCGATCCAAATCTATCGTTCTTTTGATATGGCGCCTCTTTCCGGGTATATCTTTGCGAAATTGTATCATCTTGTTAAAATCGATAACATATGAATTTCTGGAAAGAAATTGACAGTGAGTTAGAAAGAAAATAACAACAAACAGCGATATTTACCCAGCAATAACTACTTCACAGTTCGGTTTTTTGTCTTGATAGGCATTTTCCATATACCGATTTGTAAGTTTATCAAATAACCAGTAGCCTCCTCGTCCTTGATAGCTCCATTTTGCTGATTTGGATGTCAGTTGAATGCTCTTTTCTTTCAAGTCTGGTTTAGTAAATACGGATGATGGGTAAGGCTAGAATGTAAAAATAACAAAAGATTATAAGAAATAATATCCATAAGCAAGATTTTCTTCTATACACAAGTTTATATAGAAGAATAGAGTATAACACCAAAGGTAGATTAAGTAATTAAGAGAAAGGACTCAGAGTCAAGCAGGTGTCTGAATATTGTACAAAGAAAGTCAGGATTAATGAAAAAATAAAAAAATACTTACTCTTCTACAAATAGGGCATTTCATATGTGCATTAGATGATCCCTTCAAACATAAATAACAAAAGAGATGATTACAGCCCAAAACAACAGGTATATTTGGTTTACTCAAGCACACCGGACAATTAACATCTGTACTCATGATCGAATATTTTATAAATTATTCAAATAACAATTAAAATTAGGTTTAACTGGTTGATTAACAGGCAAAGAATACGAACTTCATCAGTTTTCACAACAATAGAATGAAAAGAGTCGAAAACACATGATTAACAGATGATAAAAGAAAAGTGGTAAAAGTTCAAGTTTGGGTTGCTAAACGGTCAAGCAACTAATTATGTAGATCTTTAAATTTTAAGTCCACTTAAACGCCTAATCTCAGTCAACCTGACCAAATTTCGATGCCAATGTTAAATAAATTACATTGTATTGCTTTAGCTAAAACTTTTAAAAGTGAAGCAAAAATAAACAAAACTGTGGCGCCAAATACGAGACAGGTTACATGTTACATATCGGATGTACGCTTATAAGTCAGATTATAATTTAATTTCCTCGTCCATATTACTTTTTCATTTTAGATTATCTTTTCTTCTCTAGAATTCAATCTGGATTTGATAGTAAAATTCAACTTCTAACGTTCAAATTAAAATCTTATTGGTAACTCATTAGTTTGATTGAACTGGTTTTAAGATTGGTTTGTTTAGATATCAACATTTTCTTCATGGATATTCAGGGTTCGGGCCCTTTTCAATCACTATCTGTAAATGTATTTCCGGGCCACGATAACACATGTGTGAAAAAGTAAGATCAAGCTTTTAAAGGATTAAATATTTTCAAATGTCTAAACTAGCTCAGGCCGAAGCTGGACTTACTATTTTCAGTCGACTTAAACAGTACTTACAGCTTTTAGCTTTTTTTAGTCTCTTCCCTCCAAATGAAGACACTCATTTTTTTAACTTGGTTTCAACCAATAAGAAAACTGAAATAATCAAATATCGGTCAACTTATGCTATTTTAAGACAATTTTTCGGGCTGAATGGCCTCATTTCAAGGACTAACTCTATTCTTTTCAACCACTTGATTCATTTCATCTTAACCCGTCAACTTGGTCACTTCACTTTACAACTCAAGTTTACTCTGTGTTTTCAGTAATCAGCCAAATTAACCTTCAATATGATTGAGAGATCTTATGATGATTCTGAAGTTGAAATGTTAAACTTCTTTTCAATCATTGATATTCTTGGAAGCTTTGACTGGGTTGACATGGAAGTTTAAAATGTCAGCCCAAGTGTAAATCAAAGAGTACTCTTTGGTATACAATCTGGTATATCAGTAACCAGTCAATGGACAATGTTTTAAATAAAAATTAAAAATAAACAAACAAATGTAAGTCGATTTTCAATGTTTCCCATTTTGTAAGAGTAAACTTGTATTTCCCAAAGCTTTAAACCATCAATGTTCTGTATCAATGTAACATGAGCCACTTGCGATCCGCTTTCAGGCTAAATGGCTCATACATATGTAATCTCACCATGATAATATAACAATAAATACTCAATAAATTTTTCAAAATATCGACTCAAAACTTATTTCAATTTTCTCAAAAACTATTTCTAATGAGTTAGAAATTTCTACTATGATTTTCAAACGAAAGATGTCACTACTATTAATAAATTCAACGAGTTTAATCATTAAACTTTAGTTAAATTAATGACTAGTCACAAATTGTTTATCATCAATAATCTTTAAATGAAAATCGTGTATTAAGCCTTTTCATAATTATTTCAAATTACCATGAGTGTAAATAAATTAATAAAAAGTATTGAAATAAGCTTGATTAATCACAACTTGCTTTGAAAAATGAATATTTTTTGCTTCAATCATTGGACCAACCCTTGGATTTAAAACAGAAACAGTTAAGTTTATCAACTCATTATGAATTTTTTAACATTGAATTATTTTTCAAAAAAGATTCCCTCGATCAGACTAAACAATTGAAACATCATAAATCAGTTATCAAAAGAGTCGATAAAAGCAAAATATTGATACAATGTGAAAAATAAACAAATATGAAGCCAGTTTTTTTATAAATTCAACCAAGAACATCAGCTTGAGTAAAACGATGAAATAAACACATGAACCATAATGATATCCATTATCTATAATAATTTATAACAATTATCATCATGCCAAATATTTACAAACCTTTAAATCCTTTCTCTGATGATGCTAATGATGACCCCATTGATAATTTGCAAGAACTACACAGTTGAAAGGCTTAAATGAATTGGTGTTAAGCCGAGTTCATCATGTTTCTTCCTCCATCATCACATTTCTCCTCCTTGCTTTTTCGTTGCCTTCAATAATCATATACTTACCCCCTTTGAAACAGAGGAAAACACATAAACAGAGGAAGGGAGAGAGAGACTTGGCTTGAAATCAGGAATTGTTCACTAATTCATGTATTGTAAAATTCATTAGAGCAACCAGAATTATACACGTTCAAGTCAACTTTTGATTCGTTCAATTTACAGTTCACCATTGTTTGATTGCTGTTTCAACAGTGGAAATGAAATGAAGCAAAAAATGGAAACAAAAAGTTGACGTAAAAGTTGAAAGTGAAAAGATCAATCCTTTGTCTTTGCAATTGGACTTTGACTCAACCTTTGTTACCAGGAAAAAGCGAAAGACTAAAAAGATTTCTTATCTTTACCATCTTTGTTACTGTCTCGTCTCTGGTAATTTTTTTGGTAATCTTACGGTTTCTTGAATCTGGTGTAACTTTATTTTTGGTCTGGCTTTTATAACAGTCCGGTTAACAATTTTAAACTCATTTTCTATCAACTTTACACTCTTGTTGTTCACCTTTTTCATGAATCATTTTCACTGAAATGGCAACAACGGTTCACCCAATAGGTGGACAATCAATCAACACTGGATCAAATCAACAACCAAATAATCCGACAATAGTTCAACAACAGCGATTACCAGAAGATGTTGTTCAACAGCAACAGCAACAGCAACAGCAACAACAGCACCAACAACATTCACAACATCATCAAACCCATCAAGCTCATTACCATCATCATCCATCTTTAACCATTTCTGGCTCTCCACCAATGATACCAGGACCTAATTCACCTCAAGATAAACAATTTGAATTACCGTGTAAGTATTAATCCTAATCAATCATAATCAAAACATGTATCGATTTGTACCCTGACTCTCCCAATTAATCTTACAATTAGCTGCACTTGTACATTATTTTTGTTCAACCTTTTGTTCTATTAATACAATATTAGCCTTTTGTCAATCTAAAAACAATTTCATACATCACTAATGATTAAAACCGTTCAACCTCATGACAACCCTGCTAATCTCTTCTAAAAATGTTGATTCGTGTCAATTTCAAGGCTTGACTATCTCTGATTACAGTCCAACAGCAACAACTCTAATGTGAATATCAATTTTGAACAAGTTTACTTTCCCATTATTTTTATCCAATTGTGACTAAAGTGTTAGATGGGTTTTGGTTAATATCTGACTCCATTTCCAAATAAAATGTTGCATGGAAAAAAGGTAAATATCATCAACATTGAGATATTTCAAAAGTCAGATAGTTTGGTTACAGATTACCGATTAAAAGCTAAATTCAGTGTTTAAAAGTGAAAAATTAATGTAAATAAAGATTTTAAAAAAGTCTCCAACATTAGCTAGGAGTGCAAACTTACCAACAAACAAAAGGCAATCTGAATAAATCTTTTTTTTCAATTCCATTTTTTATACATTCTTTACTTTTTCTGTTCACTGAATCTTTCCAATGATAAACAAATTGTATTTACTCATTCTTATACCATTTTGATATAAACTTATGCATTTTTATTTATCTAATACAAATGGGTTTCTCATACAGATTTACAAATCAGTAAACAAGTAAACATTACCTGAACCATTTTGATTCCAAAATGTCTTTGCTGTTCAAACATATTATTACATTGATTCAATCTATTGATTACTAATGTAGACACATTTTTGAACACTTTTACCTTCAATTTTTATGCTTTTTTTGTCTTTTCTCCTCATTTTTCCGTTCAATTTCTGTTTACAGATTTACTTCCAATAAATTGACTCTCAAGACTAGAGTAAATCAAAAATCTGATCAACAATTAATCACTATTTTCTCGGTTAATCTCTTCTCAAACCTTATTTAATGTTCTGCTAAATATCACAAAAGAAAGGCAAAGAAACCCGAAAATGTAATGAATTTCCATTGAAAGTTATTCTAATAATCGGATTAAGGAATTAACTGTTAGGACCAACAATAGGAACTCAATTAAATTGTTTCTACTTGAACTACAACTTGATTGAAACTCACCAACAATAACAGACACCTTCCATTGTATTTTAATGACCATCAGAAGTAAAGCCTTTTCATTACCTAATGTACACTTTACAACAATTACTTTTCATTACCTTCCAATGGCTTGACCATTATATCCTTTTCAAGATATTAATGTCCATTTTTTGTCCAAAACCATGTAACCTCTTAAAATTATCCTGAAAACTTCACGAATATCGAACAAAAACAAACACAAAGATCAAGAATAAATTTGATAATTTTACTTGAAAATGTTTCTCTCGACAATTTGAATCAACTTCAACTTGTTACCCAAAGAAGGGTAAAATTGATTTGAGAATGAGAAACTCAATTTAAAATTGAAATAATCTCTTTGATTATCAATCTGATAGTTTGGTGACAGTGACGATGAAATTGAATTAAGTTTCAACTTTTGTTTCCTTCATAATTTAATGTCAACATTTTGTTGATGAATTGATTGGATAAACAATGAAAACATGTGAAAAATCTGGTAAAATGCTCAAAGGTGAAAATAAAAAAAGTGTTAAAACATTGGTTAACAGTCAGGGAGGTTTGAAATGTTAGACTAAATGTTGGGATAACACTGGGAATGAACGAGAATACATTAGAGTTACCAAGCTGAATGCGCCTGATTTGATAAGTTCATGAGACTATTGTGAGACTGAAAATAGTTTCAGTTGAACTCAAGTCATCTTCAAGTGTTGATAGGCAATATTATATTTGTTATTTGTTTTTATATCAAATTAAACATTTTTCACTTTACCTTTCATCATTTGTTCCCATAAAGTTGATTGAAGGGATAAAACAGTAAAATTGAATTTAAATTCAGATAATTGTGATAATCTTTCATTTTTAAAGTTTAATGAGTTTCAAGAGTAAATCTGAAAATCTGTTTTTGTTGCTAAAAAACTGGAAACAACGGCAGTCCAATTGATTATGGGTAACAACAATCATCAGTGTTTCACTTGGAAAGTTAATCATTGTGTGTTTAATCAGTTTCATTTACAGTGTAATGTTTCCTTGGTGTGATGATATTTCACTCATTTTGTTTCACATGTTCATCATGGTTTACATTAGTGTGTCAATTGTGTTTGAAAATTATCAGCTAATCGCGATACAAAATAATTATTGAAATATTTGGCAATTGTTAATAATGGAGAGACATAATGTCTCATCTAATTCAACGCCTTTACCCACAATTGTTACTTTGGGTAATGTTGATGGTCGATCACCAGTAGTCCATACAACCACAATTAAAACTGGTTACTCTGTGATTAACCCCAAACAATTAACACGACCCAGTAAATCAGAGCCTTCAACAACAAGACACAGTCCAGGTTTCCTTTTTATTGGAGAAACTGCAATCTCAGGTTAGTTTCCAATCGAAATTCAATTTAAGCGTTCAAACAATCCATTTTAAGCGATCACAAAACTCACATTTCAATCAATTTTTGATACAAACATTACAACAAACTAAACATTGCAAGTCATTGAAAGACTTCATTTTTACATCTTAAATTGGTGAATTTTTTCATTCAAATCAATGCTTGAAATAGTGCCTTCTGAAACTCAATATAACTGATAGGGAAACACATGTTTGAAAGGTCTTTGAGTCCAGCCTTGAAGGGACTGAGTGTTTTAAGATTCAAAGATCAGCCAAAACTGAGCTTGTTTCCATTGTTTCTATCTTTTGAGCATTCCTTGTCTATTCATTGAAATTTATCGCATTTTTTCATCGAAGTGATAGAGTTGATCGAGTAAATTCAAAATGTTACAAATTAAATGAAATTTTTCAATGTGTTTAAGGAAACATTTCATATTCCGTGATGTTTATCATGAGATCAAACTCTAAAGTTTAAAGTTTCATGGTTATGTTAAAGATTTTGCAGAAATTCAATCTGTTATCTGATAGAAAATCATTTGATTCTGATGAGATTTTACTGTTTGCCTGTTTTCACACTTAAATTGATTTGACTCAAGCAAAATATAATTTCTTTATCACATTACATTGTATTTTGCCTTAACATTGGCCTACAAGTTTGATGAAATCTTAAACATTTCAATATAAGAAATAAAAACTCAAACATTTCCCTTCGTTATCATGAAAATCCCTGTAATCTGAGTTTTCAAATTTCTGATTTAAACTTAAAATATTACTTTTACCATTTTTCACTAAAAGTCAATTTACTTATTAGTTTTCATCTTTACTTTGAATCTTAATGTCATTCAAACAGTATAATGAAAGAGTAAAGTTTGAGAATAAAAATGTTAATCATTCAGAATCATCAATCAATCATGAAACAGAAAATTGGAAAACTCAATATTGGATAAAATTCAGAATCTAAAATCTTTATCTTTGCTTCAGGCCTTTCAATTTACCTTCATTAATAATAACTAAGATTCAGTATTTTTGCACTTTCCATTTCCAGTTTATCCAACATTTTATTTCATGATATTTTACTTTTCTTACATTTTCAAATTCTGTTATTAGTTCTGTAAAGTTATTTCTTTTTTCCATTCAATATACTTTCAGAATCCTTGTTGATCATTTTTCACTCCAACAAGAAACAAAAACCAACAAATGTGATCCATCTTTAGATAATATTCAATTGATATATGTACATGTTGTAGTACTTTTTTGTTGGGGAAAAATCAATTTTTACTTTCCATTGAGAAGAAGAAGAAAAATTCATCAAAATTCTGAGAAAAAAAGTATCAAAGTTTCATTTTGTAGTGAAAAACGAAGCAAAGTTCAACATCAACAATGAATTGATTAACTTTTTTCTGCGTTTTTTAAGCAACAACGAATCAAGTTAAATTGAAATTGATCAACAGAGTTACACTTTTGGAGCAACTGATGAACAGAAAATTGTTCAGTTATTGAATTTTTGAGATTTCAAAGGAAAGAAAAGGTTTGATCACTTGAATTATCATTTAAAGTAAATTATGTTCAATTGAAAAGTAATGGTTTAAAGTCATTTAAGCTGGTAAACATGATATCTTCAGAGTTTACAGTTGAATAACATTGTCAATGAATACCGAGATTTACAAGGAAAAATGTAATAAAAATATTTCTATTGAAAGATAACAAAAAAAGTCAAAAACTGGTAACAAAACTGGTCAAGACTATTTAAAGCTGCAGAAGATAAATAAGATTAAAATCAAAATTCTGATTGAGATTACATTTTCCAAGAATTTTCTCATTTCCAGTCTTCCCTTTGCTCTGAACTCCAGTCAATATTCAAAGCTGACTGGGAGTGATTTTTATGATAACTAACGAAGTTTATTTCCATTTAGGAAACAATCAAATTGTCCAAATCTAATTACTTTTTTATTGCAATTCAACTCTTTCTTCACTTGCATTCTTATTCTGATTTTTCACATTCTAAAGTTGACCTGTTCTGCTGAAGATTTCAATATTTCTCTTAGAATTTTCAGAATTCAATTCTTGTTGCTTGAATGTGAACTCGTGTGTTGGTTTGATTGATTTCAATCCTTTGAGGCTTGAAATTTTCTATTTCATTGTTTTTCCTCAGTTATCAAAATTCTTGAAACTAAACAAAACCTGAAAACTCGAGAGATTTGCGGTATTTCAGGAGAAACACTGTTTTTAGAAAAACCTTTTTCCAAGCAAAATTTTCCAAGTTATTTTGATTTATGAATTTATGCTTTTTTAGAAAAAAGTTATTGTAAATGTAATAGCAAATCAATCAGCTAAAATGATAACAATTGATCTTTTGTTGAATCTGGCTTTTCTCTCGACTTTACCTTCTCTATCAACATCAATGAA